AATCCAGAAGTAAAGCACAAGGTACATGATGTTCAGGATTAGATTTTTAATGCTCCCCTTAATTATTTTAGCACTTTATAACATACAAAGTTTCAAAACTTGTTAGCTTTCCAAACTTCAGTGGCACTGTTAGAAAGTCTTATCTGCAGTCCCATACATTTGAAAAACTGAAAGGCTTCCTTGTCCTAGCACACTAGAAATGTTTTCCCCTTAATGAAAATAATGCTAAAGCTTTGCCAAGACTTTTCTCTGGAAAAAGCCATAAATACAGAGGAACACCCTATTTTAATATGAATATTTAAAGAACATTGTTATTTTTCATCTGTGAGTTAGTGGGAGGGAGGAGGAGGATGGCTGTGAGTGCAGGAATTATGTGGCATTAAATCCGAACCAACTAATAGGGCTTTCAGAGTAAATAAGGACTGTTCATCTGTATATTTAAAATCCTAGTCACTTAACATTACAGATGGCATGTACCATAGATGAGCTAGGGTTCAGAGGGGCAACGTCTCAGGAACTTTCTCATCAACAGAGACTATAACATCATCTTCCACCTGCTCAGGCTTTCCTATTCCCTCTGAGATTACCTGTCATCTTCTCATCAGCTGGGAAATCATAAAAATAATAGAAAAGTGAAGTTGGAAGGGGCCAACAAGGCCATCGGGTCCAACCCCCTGCTCAATGCAGGAATACACTCAAAGCATATCTGCCAGGTGATTATCTAAGTTTTTCTTGAATGCCTCCAGTGTTGGAGCACTCACCAACTCCCGAGGTAACTGGTTCCACTGTCGTACTGCTCTAACAGTTAGGATGTTTTCCCTGATATTCAACCGAAATCTGGTTTCCTTTAACTTGAGCCCATTGTTGCGTGTCCTGCACTCTGGGATGGTCGAGAACAAATCTTGCCCCTCCTCTGTATGACAGCCTTTCAGATATTTGAAAAGTGCTATCATATCACCCCTCAGTCTACTTTTCTCAAGGCTAAACATGCCCAATTCTTTCAGCCTTTCCTCATAAGGCTTGGTTTCCAGCCCCCTGATCATCCTTGTTGCCCACCTCTGAACTTGTTCCAATTTGTTAGCATCCTTCTTGAAGTCTGGTGTCTAGAAGTGGACACAATACTCAAGGTGACGCCTAACCAGTGCTGAATAGAGGGGGACTAGCACCTCACAGGATTTGGAAATTATACTTCTATTAATGCAGCCTAAAATAGTATTTGCCTTTTTTGTAGCTACATCAGTGTTGGCTCATATTTGGCTCGCGATCTACAACAATTCCAAGATCCTTCTCGTGCCAGTCCATGGCCTGGGCTAGACTGGGGAGACAGATCTCCCACCCCACCCCACATGCACTCCTATCCCCCAGACCCTTCATGAGTGTGCACAAGTGTCCCCCAGGCACCCCTTGCCCTTCACACCCGTACGCACACATGCACGCATCTGCTCTCTACTCCCCCACCGCTTTGTGCATGTGCAGGAGCATGTGGTGGTGGAGTCCAAGTATGGCTGGGGTGTTCCCTCCAGCCGCTAGCCTCCCAACGGGCTCCAATAAGGCTGGGGGTGGCACTCCTCACCACCCTTTGCGGGAAATTCATATGCAGCTGCCAGTTCCAGAACTAGAGGCACCAGGAGCAGCATTGGCCTGCTGAGGGTGGCGAGGAGCACAGATCCCAGCCTCGTTGGAGCCCGCCAGGAGGCGAGCAGCTGGAGCACCCGGCCATGCTCTGCCTCCCAGCTCTTGGCCACTCCCCTGCCACCACCAGGCCACGAAGACAGACCTCCGCCCCGCACGCACTCCCCTCCCCACAGCTGCTTTGTGCGCACTGATGTGTGAAGGGATGAGGGAGCGCTCACGTCGGCGCTGGCATGCACCCACAAAGCACTTGTGGGGAGGGGAGTGTGTGCGGGGGCAGCGAGGGAGAGGTCTGTCTTTGTGGCCTGGTCGGGCTCAAGCCACGGACCGGCAATGGGCCATCGACCGGAAGTTGACAACCTCTGTTCTAGGGTATTAGCTATTCCATCCAATTCTGTATCATCTGCAAATTTGACAAGCATTCCCTGCACTCCCTCATCCAAGTCATTGTTAAAAATATTGAAGAGCACCGGGCCCAGGACTGAGCCTTGGGGTACCCCACTTGTTACCTCCTCCCAGTTAGAGAAGGACGCATTCATCATTACCCTCTGAGTACGATTCTGTAGCCAATTGTGTATCCACCTGACACTTTATCTATCCAGCCCACACCTAGTTAGCTTGCTACTCAGGTATCATGGGGCACTTTGTAAAAGCTTTGCTGAAGTCAAGATATACTACGTCTACAGCATTCCCTCTGGTTGTCAGGGAGGTGACCTGATCAAAACACAAGATCAGATTAGTTTGGCAGGATTTGTTCTTGACAAATCCGTGTTGGCTTCTAGTTATTACTGCATTGTTTTCTAGGTACTTGCACAATGACCACTTTACGATCTGTTCCAGAATTTTGCCTGGGATTGATGTCAGGCTGACTGGCCTGGAGTTCCCAAGCTCCTCTTTTTTGCCCTTTTTGAAGATAGGGACAACATTAGCCCTCCTCCAATCCTCTGGCACCTCCCCCATTTCCCATGATTTAAAGAAAATAATGGACAGTGGTTCTGAGAGTTCTTCAGCCCGTTCCTTCAGTACTCTCAGATGCAGTTCATCCGGCCCTAGAGATCTGAAATCGTTTAAGGTGGTAAGGTATTCCTTGACTATTTGTTTATCAATCTCGAGCTGCAATACTATCCCCCCCACCTTGCACTTCCAATTTGTTTGGAAGTTCAACTATCCCCCCCCACCTCGCACTTCCAATTTGTTTGGAAATTCATAGTCTGTCTTATGGGAAAAGAATAAACTAAAACAGGATTTGAGCAATTCTGCCTTTTCTTTGTCCTCTGTTATCATTTTTCCATCTCCATTGTGGAGCTATGCCACTATGTCTTTTCTTTGTCTTTTGCTACTCACATACCTGAATAATGCTTTTTATTGCTTTTAGTGTCTCTAGCTAACCTCAGCTCATTCTCACCTTTTGCCCTGCATTCTCACCTTTTGCCCTGCGTTTGCAGAAAGGGCCTTTTGCAGGAGAGCAGAAAGTGGAAGGGGGGGGGGAAGGAAGGTTTGCCGGCTGAGAAAGAAGGCGGGGAATGCCTTCTTTCTCAGCCCTGCACCTTTTGCCCTGCATTTCCTTGCTATTTGTCTGTACAGTACTCATCCTTGGTGGCCTGGCCTTCTTTCCACTTCCTGTACATGTCTTTTTTGGGTTTGAGGTCCTCCCTAAGCTTTTTGTGAAGCCACACCTGACCTTTTTTGCCACATCCCCCTTTTTTTCTTTTTGGAATTGTTTGCAGTTGTGCCTTTAGAATTTATTTATTTTTAGAAGTGCCCACCCTTCTTGGACCTCTTTTCTTGTTAGGATCTCCTGCCATGGGACCTTACTTATTTATACTCTGAGATTATTAAAACTGGCTTTTTAAAAATCCAGTAGAAGTGTGTGGCTATACTCTGCTTTTGTTTCCTTTGAAATCAAGAATTCTAGAAGGACATGGTCACTCTCGCCTAGTTTCCCTTACTGTTACTTTCCCCACCAAGCCATCTCTGTTCGTCAGAATCAAGTCAAGGACAGCAAATAAACATTTCTTTCCCAAGAATAATGTATGACTGTAAGCTATCCCTACTATAACACAAAGTGTTTGAGGGTGGTTTGGTCTTGAACCGGGAAGAGCCATTAGCTTTGTAACTGACATGCACCAATCCAGTTATTGGCATTTTTAGATTTTCCTTACGGGGCAGAGTGGCTATAGGGACTACTGCAATGACTGCACGGGCCAGTGGGATCCATACTTCCCCCTCCCACCACCATCCCAACTGGGGCAGAGTGGCTATGGGGACTACTGCAATGACTGTACGGGCCAGTGGGATCCATACTTCCCCCTTCCACCACCATCCCAACAAGCGTCTTCTCGAAATGAGACAGAAACCCTCTGGTCCTGCAGCGGAACAGGTTTGAGGCCAGTTTGTGTTGGAGCCCTTAACGCCAACATCACCACCGCTCCCCACTCCCTGGAGGGAATCACAAGAAATTCAGGCCAGAATTCAAGGCTTGGAGAGTTATGACAATGCTCCAAAAGAAGATGGCATGACTGTATTTGAATAAATGTAGATTGTTGTACGTGAAAAAAAAAATCCCCTGAAAATCAGCCCTAATGCGGGTTTTTTGTTTTTGTTTTTGGAGCAAAAAATAATACAAGATCCGGTCTTGTTTTCTGGAAAACAGTGTAACACCAAAATTTTAGGAAGATTATGGCTCGGCAGGGCTAAAATTCAGAGCCTATTTTCAACAGTAAGATTAAGCCTTAACAACATGTGTGAAGCTGTAATATTAATACACTCCAATACAAAAAAAGGAGCACATTTAGCTCATCTGCTCATATTTAAATACCTGCTCGACTAGCTCTGACTTAAGTCGCACGGTGCGCAGGATGGTGGTCTATCAAAGCAACCTGAGGTAATATGTTCTCTAATCTCTCCCCCCCGCACCCCATACCCCCTCGNTACAGTCACTCTCTTCCCATTGGCCACGCTGGCCCTCCGCCCCCCCCTCTCCCACCTTGCTCGGCTCCAGAGACCGCCTGGAAGAGGAGATGAGGAGCCGCGAGTCGCGAGCGACGAAGGGTGAGCGCGCGCTGGGGAGGCGGGGGAAAGAGACGGAGCGCGAGAGAGCGCGCCCGCGCGCGCTGGCAAGACCGAGGCGGAGTGGGGGGGGTAGCTTTTTCCTCCCTCCCTCCCTC